TAAAACAAACCCGGAATATTTCTGTCCCCTTAAACCTGAATCGTCTTACGCATTGGTAGGTAACCATAATATATATATGCAAATCTTTACTGTATATTACTGTAAAAGGATGTTTAATGATTTCTCTTTGAATATCACAAATACTTAGCGGGTTTGGCAGAATAAAGAGCTCGAGAGAAAAATCATGCCATACGAGCGATCGCCATGAGAACAATCTTTTCATTAAGAGTGCGTAAAGAAAGTAGAAAACCACGGCAGCTGACCCCATTTTTTGTCTCCGTCTGATGTGATGAATGATAAGATTGTAAGAGAGATCATTGCTGTTAATACGACATTACAATATGTTTTATCCATTTCACATTCAAACCAATTGTAAATTACATTTGTGATGACATAACTTAAAGGAGACATGAAGACAGTGCTATGGTCAGCAACAAAACGGCTGTGTTATTTGTGACGTCGTTTTATATGTAACGTAAGTTTGAGTGTGACTCCAAAGGGAGTAACTGAAATTGAGCGTTTACGTACGCAGATCATCATTCTTCTCTTGTAATTTAAAATTGAAACAAAAAGTGGAGAAAAATAAATAAACAAAAAGTGAATTTTGCTCATGAATGGTTTCTTTTAACCTGAACATGTGTTTCAGGTATACAAAATATTGGGTCAACTCTTCACACTATCGATACTATAACTTAAGAAACTACTTCTGCTAGAATACCATTTGCTACAAAGGAGATATCGTATAATTCAAATTATCCATTATAACTGTTCTGTAAGACAATGATACATATGTAGCAGAGGTTTTATTTAAACGTACAATAAAAATTGCAAAAAACAAACTTTAAGGAGAGTTGATATCGTTTAATGTGTTTATAAATGTAAATGTAGATCTTTCAACACAATATGTGACTGTACTGATATCCTTCATCCTAACGTGAAAGGTACAAAGAGACACAATCTACTTTTTTCAATTTAGCATGTTTCCGATTGATGAACATTAGAACAAGACCTAGAACATCCTTTGCCATTCATACCTGTTCTCAGGTCATGTAATGACAGCAAAAGACTTGTGTTGTTAGCAGTATATCACAAGCCTAAGACGAGAATATTTGTATTTCTTTCTGCGATATCTTCAGAGTGTAGCGTTAAACTATATCGCCATTCCTTTGTAAAGCAGTTAAATCAAACTAACAGAGCTTTTATATCAACAAAACCATTGACAGCTATATAAATAACTTAACACATAAATGGTGAGTTCATTCAGCATGTTACCGGCCTCACGAGGAATCACATAAATAGTCTTTCCTCAAACAATGTGTTATGAAATAAAGAATGATGTTTTGTGCTTCATAAACGGTGCAGAATGAACTCACAGCCTTCATCAAGCGTCAGATACACATTTTTCGTAGTTAAGTGACAACAATTTGACAGGCAAAATCGCATGGCAGGTAGTCAGATGTCCTTAAAATGCAAAATACAACACAGTACTTCCAGAAATTAAAAATATGTTTTTGTTGTTAACACCTTATATGAAGAGTTACTTGTGAGAATCCAAAGGTTAAAACATAATCTACAGAGTAAACATGAACATGATTATGCAACATGCGATCATTATTAATTAACGCCATCAATGTTATTATGATCTGCCGATTTCGCTAGATTATGGAAATCTTTATTCAAGAAACGAAAAGGTTTATACAATCAGGTTCAGTAACTTGTGTATTAGTCATTTCAATGTAACATATGCAAATTGTACAACATATATATTTAACAGTTAAACCTTGGAGACCATATTAACAAAGTGAAGTAGTACAGATGCAAAAAAAAATTTAACCTCTTTATTGTCGCAAATACTTGTCTTTTACGTTTTCATATTAATCAATTACATTCTTACAGGAATTATAAAATAAAACAACATAACACATTATTTATTCCTAGTTTTAATTTGTTTGATTAAAAATAAGGTTAGTATTGAAATTGACAACTATCCTGGTAGTTCAGCGTCGAAAATACATCACACAATAATTGTTTGCCAAATCAATACAAAAAACGTAAAAAGGTCAAAGCATCATCGCTTTTAATATGCATTTGTGTTCATGGTACCCTGTATACAAATCAGCGCCCATAATATACGAAGTCTACTTAAGTTTGATCAATGACCAAAAGCTTAACCAGCGTAACAACAAACAAGGAAATAACATTGAAAGATGAAACAAAACAAACAAAATGATATGAAAATAAATAAAATTAAACAGACACAAAATACAGTATGAACAATAGCAAAATGAGTTTTATGGAATGATATGTTTTAAGAATATATCAAAATCAATCAATAGTAAAAACTTCAATTCCATTGGAAGTCAGCAACTATCAAATGTGACAGTATCATACATATTTAGATACCAATCAATTTCAGCAGTTACGCAATTATTTACATCTACATTGTATGGGTATATCTGGACAGCTAGCACGATGATAAGTATGTACAGTGAAACTTCGATATATTGTCATCGGTTGTCAAGCAGAACTTTGAGTGTCATGAAGGGGTCAACAATATAAAGAGAGAAGCTTAAGTTTCCAAGAACTACCTAAGAACAAGAGTTGTCAGTAAGCGAAATTAAATGGATGACATGATATCAAGTTTTTACCGTTTATAGACTACGTGGTGAGTACCACATCAGATTACAAGATTTCAAAAACTGGTATTATAAATCATCATTTCATTAGTTCACTGAATATAAACATCAATCTTATATACAAACTCTATTTACTTGCACGAATAAAGTGTGCTATTCTTTCTGATTTTGTGTTTAAAACATTAACATAAGTCAAAAACACAAAAATATCTATAAGTACAGTGAAATGGTCCTGGGACGACACAGTGACTTTTAAGTTTTCACGTTGTTACAAAATTAACTAATTGCAATAAAAAATAAATTAGTTATTACATGTAATTTGTCTCGCGAATATCAGTCATATTATCTTAACAATTATTACAATAAATTATCATATTAACACTAGTGTAAACTATATTCCCATCAGTGGTTATGTATTCTTATCATCGATATTCTTAGTCGGCCATTGCAAGAAAAATAATTTTGAATTCATTTTGTATTTGATGATTTAAATAAATGGTATGGAAAGATATTTAACGTCTTAAATTAATTTTCATTAGCCTCATAGACATCAAACAACTCTAGATTAATCGTTTTTATACAATAAGATGAAAAGCGTACCTGTTGACAAGAAACGTAAAACCGTATAGGACCTAAATTGTAAAAGAAAAGAAGTATTTATGTAAAATAATATTCAAAAACATATAAATAAATGTGTTGAGATAAGAACACTTGATAAATGATCTCGTTTATATTTCCAATAAAGAGAATAATTACTATTGAAATTGCTTCCAATTTAAAACGAAATCTGTAATATTAGCTCTTGTTTAATTTAATTAAGTAATGTAAATCGCAGAATTTCACACGATCTTTAAACTGAAGAAAAAAATTATTTGCAAAAATAATTTGATACTCTAGTTTTCCATATGTGAAATCATATACATTTTTTTTGGAAAGAAATGGTTTTAACAAATTTAATCTTTTAACGTACACAATTAAAGGTATAATGAAAAACCTAGAGTTGTGGAAACTATTAACAGAACATCGAGAAATAGGTCGTGGCAAAAACTACAACGTTTTTAATCAAGATAAGTGTATAACTTCATACGTGTGCTTAATCTTAAAGACACGTTAAAATTAAATTGAAGTATTACGTTCATTGTATGTTTATAGGTATTGAATGTTTATGACACATTAATGCAAGTGATGTCACTCATGCAATAGCTTTTATGAGTGCCCAGTATAATATGTATCAATTATTGACTGTAGCAAAGGTTGATACGTTGTCACATGGTTGATACGCAGTCAGAGGTCGATACGTATCTAGCAGGTGCATTTAATAACGTGTTAGCCAAGACCTAACTTTTTATATTACACACCATTTTTTAAATAGCTGGAGATATAAGATATATAAACAGCGAAAATCAAGGGGTGGTTATCGGAAATATATATCCGGGTCTAAATTTAGAATCATGAGGTCGATATTGTGACTTGCTGGACAAAAACAGAAACATATGGTCAATATGCTATATATTAACGAACCTTAGACCAATGATTAGCCAATTAAAATCAAGGAAACCTTAGCAAGTATTAATTACATGTTAAAGTAGCATAAGTATTGCTTCCACTGAACAAAACAAATATTGCAATAGATTTAAGGACACTGAGCCAGTATATCCGCGGAATTTTAAGCAGATTTCAAAAAAATGGTAGATTGAAATGTTCAAACATGTTTTATTTATATATACTATACATCCACTTTATTAACTCTATATAAAAGTAATTGGTTAAATCGAATATATCCCCTCTTTTGCCTGACTGTGTTTTAATCCTGTGTGTTAGTCTGGGAACTAAAACACACCTACACAAGGGTGTTTCCGTCGAGCCAATTAGGCGAGAGATGGGCGGAGCTTGCTACCGAACTCGGTAGCGGCGCGCATTTGGTTCCATTGCCATCAATAGGGTAGTTGGGACGTGAAGCCATACAGCTTATATTTTACAAATATTTTCTGGTTAAACTATCTCTCCAGTGTGTATCGGTATAATAAAATGGTTAAAGTATGGTGTTGAGGGATATAGCAAGTTTCTGATGTCCCTTGACCATGCCTAATAGACCTGGTCTCGGGACACCAGAAACTTGACATATCCCTCAACCCCATACTTTAACTGTATATTAACGTATCGACCCGCTGATTAGCCCATGGATCATACTTTAATATATCTTTATACTTTTTCTTCCATGGTAATTGTTCAACTTTATACAAATTAAGAGAAAAAGGTCACTGACTGTGAAGAAACATTACCATCTGTGAACATTTATTTTTCATTAGTTGAACCAACTGCTATTTTTTGTACATCTGAGTATTGTAACCTAACAGAAAATATTTACACATCTATACTTTATATATATATCTATATATAACTATATATAACCTATGTTAACTATCTCCGAGGTCCCAATGTGGTTCTAGTAGTAAGATCCGGTCTGTGTCTACTTCTTGACGAGCCATGTTGACTTTGCAATCCTGTGGGTAACAATTAAATGTTTACATTAATTCTTTGCAATTTTAAATATAGCTTCAGATTGATATGATTTTCTTTTATACCAAATGTTGGGCTTTGGTTCTAAGTAAAGTACATACAAGACCAAAACAGGAAGTCAGTGTATAAAAAGAACAAAAAGAGCCAAGCAGACGCCAAGAAAAAAGTTAGATATAATTAATTATAACTGAGGAGAAACAAGGAACTCAGCAGGGTTAACACATCCTGCACAAAACAATGGTAGAAGTCGTTTTCATGGCCTCGTTTTGACAGTACTTAAAGTTCGTTTTCATGGCCTCGTTTTGACAGTACTTAAAGTTCGTTTTCCAAATACATGGCAAAATATTTTCCACTTGTATATTGTTTCTATGCGGGAAGTAAAGAACAATTAGAGAAAAAGAAACCATTGGAAGGTCACTCCAATTCCTTAATTAAATAGTTTCTGTAAGGACACCTTAAATCATACCTATCTTCACAAGTTTGATCGTTCAAACGAAATTGGATATATCGCATATTAAGTTTATCTTTTTTAATTTAGTTCAGAAAAAACGTTTCATCTGTGTATTGTAACTGCTTAGTGATATCGCGAAGCATGACAACGAAACCGTTTTTATTAATGGGAAATAACTCTTCCTTTCTAATTTGTGTGATTGCAAGATGTATGTTCACAAATGATGTGTATAAATAAGATATATAAAAAAACTGTCTTTTTTATATCATATATATTTTTAATTGAGCAGCACATCAATATGCCTCGTAATTATCTACATAAATTAATGTTTCTGCTTTATAAATAGTTGAAATAGTATATTAGAATAAGAGAGAAATAAGTACCACCTAATTAATTGCTAAAATTTTATCCATTATGTCTTTCTCTTTAAACTATGATATTACTATTAGTTGGTAGCATACGTTCTCTTCCTTTGCCCTTTTGGTTTTTTTCATTGACTAACATTTTGTCGGATTGCAACACCCACAGCTTTTCTAATTAAATTCTATTTTTCTATTTTAAGGTACCGTGCTATGATAGGAGGAGGTGCTGTTTCAGTAAATATTTGTAGTGTAAGAGCGTAGAAGAGATGCACTTCTAGTGAACGCAGGGGCTATAATCAAAAGAAACGTATCGGCCATATGAAACCTATCAAAACCAAAACATAGGTTTACTGATGAAATCCAGCTTTTACCGAGATTAAATTACAACCAGCAAAATTATAATAAAAGGACAAGAGGCAGTGTCATTAAGACATCAAAACTAACTGGAATGACGCCGAATTATGAAGGAAACCATAAAGGATTAGCCTCGAGAACGTGTAAACACAATCGCTAATTTGTAACGTACTTGCATGGTGTTTTATATTGGCGAGAGTATTTACAAATTATTTTATTGTGTTTAGCGGATTAAACTACACAGCTAACAGAACTTGACTGATGGGTTATATTCTATGTCTAATAGTGTATATAATATTGAGGAACCTTTGCATACACATTTGTTAGGTTGATCAGACAGATATAGTGTTATCAAACGGAAACCAGCGTTAATTACCAAAGTGTTTACATGTGTCATACTGTGAAGGTATTCAGCGTGCATGCATGCATGTAAATAAGCACCTCTATTTATGTAAATTGGAAAATGTTCATATCATTGATTAAATCCTTATTGGAACTATAACAGTTGATAAGACATTTTGAAACCATATTTACACATATAAAAGAGAAAACACCAGGCAAACAAATTCGATAACGAAAGATAAAATCTGTATGAAAGATAAAACAAAAAAGGGCACTGGAAAGATACCATAAAACAAACAACGACATGAACTAATGAACTAGTGACAAAGAAGATATCAAGACAAAAAGTTGAACAGAAACAGGTGCACGGGAGACACCAAGACAAAAGGTTGAACAGAAACTGGTGCACGGGAGACACCAAGACAAAGGGTTGAACAAGATCAGGGGTAACAGACACACTTTCTTCTCCAATAAACAAACTCGTTGATGCAAAACGTTACACTGACCTTCAGATTTACAGTTTCGGCAGTTGTGTTTATTGCACCGCTCTTTCATTCGACACTTTATTGAACCACCCTGCAATAACAAAATGACGAAATTAAAATTAATTTCTGGCTGTTCTGGCAACACAGATCCCTTCAAATTAGTGCAGAAATTGAAATAAAATATAACAAATCAAAGGAGCCGAGTTGTTTTCATATTGGCATTTAAACAATTATATACATAGTAAGTAAATCATAGCAAATGTCACAACAATAAAGAAAAAGCTAAGAAATCTATTAACTATGCAATGTTATCTATCACTGTAGACGAGATATCTTTACAGTACGTTTTCCTAATTTCTAACATTAGTAACCTTATTTATGTATAATTTGCTACACAGGGTGAGATTTTTGACACCACACTGCGACGCATAGTTTACCAACACATTAAGATAATACAATAACTCAGTGCGAATGTAGTGCTAAGGCGAAATCACTTTTAAATTAGCAAAGCAGGTTCTGAGCGATGTGAATTTCCCATATAAAATTAAATGTGGAACCATTTACATGAACATAACAATAAAAAGAACGCTAAATCAGTGTAAATCGAAAATAATGCATACATTTATACAGGAATATGTTCTATTTTATCGCAAATAACATAACAAAACGTGCGAAATTTCACTGGAATTAAATTTCCGCCATTACTTTACCATGGAAAGATGAAATGATGTCCCGGAAATGCCAATGAAGAGAGTGTGGTTCTGTATGGTTACAATTACACATTCACGCAGCAGTATAAAAACATCTAGTACCTCACACTTCTGGTCTAGATTATATTTGTATGCGTACTGGAGAAAACGCACTTCAGCTGAAATGTGTTGGAGAACCACACACATTTATCAACAAACAAACTGTTCTACCCTCGTTTGTTTTGTATAGAGGACCACCGACAACCCAAGCCGTAATATTTCATCAAATATGAAATATACACTTCTAGCTTTTTTAAATATTTATTTGTGTAATGGTAAATTTTGCCACACACATGCGATATGCTATTTTGAAAGAATGGTCTGATGAGGAAAATTATAAGATATCGGAATTGCTCCTTAATAAAACAAAATCCAGATTTATTTACACTTTTGTAACTTGAAGAATACTACTCAATTTAGAATACTACTTCTTAAAACAATGTAAGTCAATTTAGTCAGTAGTATGCTATTTTACCAGAAAACTACGGGCGTATCCATTACTCGACTCAAGATACACAGTCTAACCATTGGGTTACACTTAGGCGAGAACCACTAGATACATTAGCAGTTACTGTAATAATGAAATTCTTCATTTACCCGACATCTGCAGACATAGCAATTCCGAAGACCAAACGGTGGCACTCGACTCCACTGTGCTGTAGATCGGACTTCGTCTGAACATCCTATAATGTTACCAGATAGTTACGCAAATTGAATGAATATTTAGTAATATAATAACTGCCTAGAATATTGCCTCTCACTTTAGTTAAGGAACTAAAACGACATATTCAAGATAGTTACATAACGCCGAATATAGCTAAGCTAATGGCGTGACATCAACTATTTTCAAACTCAGAAACCCTATATTAGTTTTGAAATTATTAAAATACGACCTGTATTGCTTTTGAAATTATACAGTTACAAAGTTATATAAAATTCTAAATAACACTAAACACGTCTTTTCTGTTTTTAGTTTCAAAAACCACAGATACCATCAATGTCAACTCCTGATCTCATCATTAACTTTTTTTAAAGAGTAAAACCGTCCTCATATAATAATTAGTCTATGGTATTCAGAAATGGATGACACAAATTTACCTCTTTGTGACGGTACTTCCGGTAGTACAACAGGGGGAATGGTTATTACGTCCTGGAAAACAGGTGGCACTGAAACTAAATAATGTAGTCAATGTTGAGAAATCAAAACTAAGTGCAGTTGAACGATTGTTTACATCAACTTACTTAGGGAAAATCGAAGTACTAGTACTTGGAATGAAGGTATCCGTTCAAGTATATGTTTGACAAGTGACAAAAATAAAAGTAATTTCATAACAAATTTGATGTGAACTACAACAACAATGATAACTGACACGTCACTAGGGCGCATAGTTTACCGACATAGTTTGTTATACCGTCACGATTGACCACACGTAGACCTTGCGTTATCAAGTGTCTTGCAAATTGTGGCGCTCACTGATTTGACAAATCAAATGCAATCGACACCATCAAGATAATACTGGTATATTGACACTTACCAGTATGTGGACACGTCTGACAGCAGTCCGTTTCCTTGAGTCGTATAGCTTGAGAGCGTGGACACTCGAGCTCCGGACACTCCTTCCGGACACACTTATAAGAGTTACTACCAGGCTGTGTAAAATAGATATCAACACAGCCTTAAGGACACTTGATGTAAATACATGAACTGATGAGACATTAAACTAAAGCAATACATTGATTACAGGGCATAACACGAACCCGAGGTATGAAGTTATGAAACCGTTTATATATTCAAACCAAGGTGCTATGCCAGATGTCTTGATTCGTTAAAAAAAACATATAAAAAATCACATTTTGTCACTAATTTGGAAGATTTTTGGATAGCCGTAATCCTTTTCAACGTCCAGACATATTTTTTTTTACCGTACTACACGATTAAAGCAAGTTACAAGGAAGTTTGTTGGACCGTAAATTCTATGCTGTATGATAAAAACGCGTTCATGAATACGGATATGAAAGTACGGGTCGATTAAATGTGTTCTGCATCACATATGGCACCCGGGAAGGTGCCCCCTGTGAGAGCCAAGAAAGGATGTTAGTCACCCGTAATCTAGGAAACGATCGAATGCTATTAATTATGACTTTAACTGAAGACACATATTAGACAATCAGGTTAAGATAACGACCGAAAATAATATTCTGCCTATCTGATGTTAGATGAAACTAAGAACATAAAGAATTGGTAAAGTTCAGGATTAGTGGTCTAGCATGCTGGTTCTGAACCAGGTTTCCTCATGTCTAGTTTGACATTAAACCTGGTACTCCAAAAGTGGGATTTTTTCCCGTCTGGAAATGCTTGCGTGAACGCTGATGTTTTTTATAGAAGATATATATTTTTTTGGATGCATACATTTCAGAGCTATTTCCAACGGACACATTTCCACACTCGAGAATTCTCACTTTTCATCATGTTCAAATAGTACATTTATTTTGATGACATGTTCCGTGACTAGTTAGAGGCTTAATCTGTTATGAAGACATAACATCATAGGTAGAGTATTTTGGGGCTTATATGCAACATGCGTACAGTGGGCAGACGTACTTCCACTGTCATATAAATGCTTCTTATAACAGCAACGAAAAAAACATGCTACATTTACATTTTTTACCTGTAAACTTTTTAAAACAAATTACAAGTGATGAAGTTGAACAAGTCCTAGTTAACTAAATGTACAATATATATTGTGACATCATTTAGGCTTATATGAAATAAGATTTACATAGAAAATCGTACTGTTAGCATGTAATCCGTTACAGAAAATGCTTACCGCACCAAATAAATACATATTTTATCGCAATGATAGTAGGATCTATCGCAATCGCTTCCTCGAACGATATACACCACAATGTATATAGCAAATCCTCAAGTCAAACAACCAGACATGTGACATGCAAATATTGAAAGGAAATGGTACAGACGACCAAGCTCAATCCATATTTACTGCCACGAACCATCTTTGACCTTCTCTTTCATGTTATATAAACGTCCTTCGTAAGAGTTGATATTTATGCAATTGTGTTTTTCGATTTTGCTTTAGATGAAAAGATAACATGTGTGGTCATGAATAACTTATTACGGTAATTTAAACGAACTACGTCATTTAATGTTCAAAATTAAGCTGAAGAATTAATAAATTGGAAAAACATTTGAAACATATGTTAGTATTACCTCCCCGTTACATGAAGGTACTTGTGTTGGCTTGGATTGAAAACATTCCGACTAAGCAATTAGATGTATGCATCTCTCTACGAGCAATTTATCTCGGGTTTTAATGGAGGGGAACAAATATTTAACATGTTTACACACTTGGACAAAGTGGCAAACTGGCCCCTTGAAATCTGCTGAAGTAACATGCAATATCTGCAGAGTATACACTGCTACAGAGTGGTGTGTTGTTTGTTTGAGGATATGTTGGAAATTACTAATTGCATTATTCAATTTTTGTAATACACACGTTTTGAAGATAAAAAGATACAAGTTACTAATTGTTCATACATGTGTTTGAAACACTGAAATAAATTGCGTGTATATCATGCTGATAATCAGTTAAGGGTGTATGACATCTCACATACTTTCCACTAAATGGTATTGTCATTATATAACCATACTAAATACAAATGACATTTAGACGGGAATGCAATGATAACGTGTTTACATTTACGTAATTGCTATTATGACGCCATACTTTTAACTAGGGAAATGACCGCCTCTCACTGCAATATGGCATTTTTTTTATTAAATAAGCATGCGTGATACAATAACTGAAAATCAATACTGAGTTTTAATTGAATATTAAAATATATTTTTTTTTATAAAATTGTGATATATAATTGTTGAACAGGCTAAAATTAGCATTCATAAATCAGAACTTAAAATCAGTTGGTTGCTTAAATGACAGCTATCTCTTTAATTTAATAAATCATCAACAAGACCAATTACCAGATAATGTGTACATGGTAATATAGAAATAACAGATTTATATATGCCATAATATTTATAAAAAATTACCTACATTGATGACATTCAAACGCCATGAGTTGTTAGATAGTAATTATGAAATAATTAAAGGGGGATAACTTAAAGACATCAATCAATCATTGAAACAGCTGTTACAAATGTAAAGGTTAATAGAATTCAATAAATACGAATAAACTAAAATTTAATAAGTAATAGACCCTGAACTGATGAGACACCAACACAAAAGATAAGGCATCACCAACTCCTCAAATAAAGAACACTGGCCCACTACATATGCTCCATTGAGACTAGCGTGTCCTCAACCAAATTATGCGCCGATGATAGCCATATACCGAGCGACAAAATTGATACCATAACAATAAAATTAACTAAGTAACCAAATAGGAGTAGTAAATCAGTAAATGTCGTTTTAATCTATCGTTTATATGGAATGTTCCAGTGATCTTCCTCTTCTGTACAATATTGATATGACTATCTTGACCAATACTGTGTGTATTATCTATGTCACTGTAATGAACCTTTTTTAAACAAGTGTCGACCAGGCTGACCTATTTGTCCATGTTCCCCTCGTTTAGACTAATAATGTGCAGCACATTTAAACTATAGGTCTCCCATACAGCGTATTATCCATCAGATAACACTTAAATGAGTATGAAAACAAAATGATATAACTTCATAAATACAATAGTATGTTGGCAATTTAATAATTTGTTACAAAAAACAAACCATATCACAAAGCTTAAAAATTGACAAACATTAGCAGACACTCTTTTGAGTTCTATCACAAGTAAAATAACTGACCTGAAATTATCTCGGGAATACGTTTGGTCATATAGCCGATTTTTATATCCACATGCAATTATCTTTAAACCGAGAATTTGTCTTCAAATGTTTGAAAAGATATATTATAATACAAAAACGTAAAAATGAGTGTATGATCTTTTTGATAAATGGAGTGACATAACCAGTGTATACTGTAAACAGGAAAATTATCGCCAAGTCAATTTTTTGTCTTTCGATGACAAAATCCATTTTCGTCCAATGTTAATTCGCCCTTCACAGTAAATTATTTTGTATATAATGCTGTTTACAAAATATCCGGTGTAATGACAAAAGCGCCGAAGTTATGAAGGGTGAAAAAGGCAAAATCAAACAGCAGCGTAATTATCCAAGTATACAGTATTATGAACCAAACGCTAAATTATGTTATCAATATAACGTCAATTACGTCAGAGGAACGTGTCGTGGAGTGAATGTATTTGATCTGTTCATGCGCTTCTTGCACTCTCAAAATCCGGACATGCATGAATTTGCTTTCGTAATTCTATATCATTTGGAAGATCATTAAACATGGATATGACTCTATTTACAAAGCTTTCTCTTACCTCACATCTACATATGGAACATGTCACGTATCCAAACGGCGGAACATACGGATACCACTGTGTCCCTGCAGGATGCCATCTTTTGTCCCCGGGGTAATAGCACGAGGTGTTGGTAGGTGCTGGCACGTCCGATTCGGCAGTGTAATAGTCTGGAGGTTCCTCTGAGTAGGTAAATAAAGGAAACCAAACTAAAATGTCAGCTTACTAAGACAAATCTGAATGTTTGTTTGAATCAAAAAGTCACAATAAATGGAAACGAAAATGACATAAGCAAAGTATAACAAAACGAAACATTTTCTAATATGGCAGGCAAAAGGGATCACGTTTTATAACATTGAAATAAATGAAATTTAAGATTTTAAGATGTACATTGCAAGCCAAAACAAATCATTTCCAATACTTCTTTCACTTTCTAGAGGGAAAAGCATTACCTGCACACACTGGGCAACAACCGTCATCAGACATTCGCTTAACCATGCATGACAATTCAGGACACACCACAGGATGACACTGGACTTCTCCTCTCTGAAAGTTAAGATTGAGGCAAATACTTCAGTGTATGACTCTAACACTGTACTTATGAAGTAATGATACAACCGGATATATCACCGTCAGAACGCACTAAAAATATAGCGGATTTTATACAGCATCAATCTGTCACACAGAGAGCGAGACAGGGAATATTTTGAACAATTTTTCATTAATATCGTAGGGTTTTTTGTTGTTTGTTTTCTATTCCTCGACTATCAAACAATACTGAAGATACAGCGTCTTTTCAAGCATTTATTTAAGGCTAAATAAAAACCGACATGAAATGGCAAAGACATTTGTGTTATAACATACCCGGTATACGTTTACAATGTTAAAAGATTACAAATTACAATAGAAATCTAGCTCTGTCCTTCCAGTTTTATTGGGTTTTTTTTTTTTTTGTACAACAACATTTATCATCGTGACAAAATATTTCCTTGATTAAATTGTTTTTCCACGTCGTTTCAAGAGATTGTTCTTCTCTGGTCTTAAGATGATGAAGTACTCACATTACAAATACAAGTTGCACATGATGTGATGTTCTGTCTCCAGGTGTCGCTGTCTCTGTATACAATGCCGTTGTATCTACAGTTGAGGCGTGGGTTTTGTGTTATAATTGGATTACCGTACTCATCAACAAAAACATCCGGTATTTGGTCGTTAAACACTTGCCAACAATTATTTGGAATGGTAAGCTGTAACCACAAATGATATAACGTTGTGAATATATTAGTGTACTATTTATCCTGTTATGAAACTTAGGGCGGTATATTGATCACATTTTGATATCAATAATGGTAAACAATATAGCTCTATACTATTCCGTCTTTGCGTATTGTAGAGTTATCTTCTCTTGGGAGCAGGGATTGATTGTTACGGCATTGGTTTGTGTGAGAATATTACGTCGTTTTCTCAAAAATTGATGACGTTACTCTCACAAACAAGTGACGTAACAATCAATACCTGCTCCCAAGAGAAGATAACTCTGCAAACGCAAAGACGGAATATCTTTTGCATACTAAGATGACATTTAGATGAACGTTTAGTGTTTAAACAGCCAAGGCCAATTTATCATGACGTGAAATCTTTTTAATACATGTATGCTGACCTCACAGAAGTTAGTCAATCGGGTCCATCCAGTGAAAACGTATATGAGTAGACATTGCTACAAAAGTGTAACGTTGTACCAACGGTTATCGATCCCATTCCCCGTTTGAATTCCAATATGTAGTTTATAAGGGTAATTTTCACTTAGATGGATTATCATTACAAATGTTTCCACTTCACATCGTTTGTATTCACATTAAAACCATCCAAAGAACATAGATTGCCAATATTGTCGTTCCGATCAATACACCTAATTATCATAAAGATATTACAGTGTAATTGTGACAAATTAAGCCTTACATTAGTCCGTATTTCTCCCTTTCGTTGACCCTTAACCTCAATATGAAGGAAGGACGTGCCCCTATTTAGACTCAGAAATACTTCTTCAGACATATCGGCAACGGTTCCACGGGCCTGCAAACACAAGAAAAAGGAAACATGAGCTTATACGACTATTTGTTGCTATAATAAAAAGAAAAATCTATATGATACAGATGTTCTATGTTCTCCCTGAACTCTTAATCCTTTAGAGAGCTTGATAAATGCTTATTCAGTATGTCGTAATCTAAATGTAATATATTTTTTCATTATTTCATTTAACGATAAAGACGTTTTCTTTGTCAATAAATGACCTATATACCTGCGAGATATGCCAACAAAGTTAACATATTTGATTCATTCCTAAGAGAGCGCTGCTGATTAAAACATTTCTGGAAGTGAAGCGTTGATGTAGATAAACGTGTAACATTTCTCCAATTCTTCTGTAGATGATATTCTACATACTCATATATACATATATATATATATATATCACAGGTCCCGACGATTGAAAAGCAATTTAGACGAGAAGTTATAACCGAGCCACTGTGCACTTCTCCACTTCCCACGCCATCATAAATAACACATGTTTATTAGGAAGATGACAGAAGATATATAAGTGAAAGTAATGTATATTTGTAAGCAGATTCAATTATTTCTTTATCGTTAATGATACCAAAAAATCTTAATATCTCATCAGAAGTAGCCTTTATATCTCTCGAATTTAGATCGGATCTGATGTTACTACGTTTCAATTGCATTTTAAATCTCGATAATCATAGTCAATTTATCCAGGTTAAATAATATTTGTTTCGCATTTTATTGGATTTCATGATATTACGCCTTGAATTTTGATAAAACCTTTGTAAAAAGTCTGAACGTATAAGTTTTTTAACCTAACATAACCATCTTGAACCAAATGATATTCTTTCACCAACTCAGATTAACTCTGAAGTGCGTAACTTACTGTATCAATTCCATTAGAAAATATATTATTTTTTTCAAATATTTAAACTTTGTGCCAACCTTTTCGTGCTTTAGCACGTAAATTAGAAACGGATATGTTACGTAAAGCGTCAACACATCCTCACATTTGACATGTGTTGTCCTTGGAACGTATTGGGTGCTGTCAAATCCGAGAGATAGTGTCATACACAAGCTATCTTGGTCAGGAGAGCATGCATTCGAAAAACATATAAACAGTGTTCCTTTTGTTTGTTTGTGATGAGGACGAAAACAAAAATTAGAAATTTATAGTTTAACAGTTTCTCAACCGAAACATTTTTTGTGATATTTAACCAATAAAAAGCGACATATCATAATCAATCATGCTATGTATAGCACGTCTACACTCTGATATATGACTAAGACATGCACGGTAAACCGTTATATTGACCAAATACTGGAACATGTGGAGGTTTTTCTAGATAATATCATAAACAGCACACACACCATTTGTTAGAATAAGCAACTCCGATTAAACAGGGTACAAGAAATGATATAACTGACATTTGAGCAACATAATAAATGCATTGCATCACGTGATTATCATTTGTTTAGCATTATCTGTTTAGTATGTGTAATATGTGCAGTACAATAGATATTAATTTATTCCGCAAAATATATTACCTTGCCGTCGTGGAAGTCTGTAATAATAATAGTGTAGATGGCGTTAGTACTGACTGTGGTATCATAGTCGCCTGTGATTAGCGCTGTGAGGTCCTCGTCCTGACCCCGCCATCCTGACAACACTATCTGATAATGTAATACACAATCATCAGCCACGTTGATCCACGTGTGGCCAGCAACCCCAGTAGGGGACGATAGTGATGACATCAGCATATTTGGAGGATCTGGAAAAACATGTTATACGCTATCAATATGTTTGTACAACTATCATTATTTCCTTTTGGTAAAGCAGCTTATTGAACTTACATCTTTATAAAAGTTTACAAAGAAGTAGACGGTTCTTTATTATACAGTTACTGTTAATTCAAACCATACGATAAATTAAACACATTTTGTGATGAGTAATTTCACTCTAATAATCAAGTTTCCTAACCTAAAGGGCTAATCACGGTATATTTTGTTTTCACTGTAAGTATAAAAAGATGAAGACATATTTACAGAGTATGTCATTCAAGTTAGAGTTGTCCTTTTTATAGACGATATTTTAACATTATACATATAATTCATTACTACTAAAGCGTAATATTATTCATCACTGTATTTTTCTTTATTTGTCACATCTTCATCTCCTAATGAACATGTTACAAAAAAGCAAGGAACTCTTTTGAATGGAGACGCATATATATTACAGTCATTTTACATCGTAACATATCATCAGATATTATAAGTGCTTTACATTTGTACCGGCGTAACAATCTACATCAGCAGCTGAGTGACACGCTTAAACAGTGTTACTATTTTTTCATCAGAGTTTTGTCCATTGACCAGGTGTGAACATTTAATGTCATTTTATTTATTCTTTTAGCATGCAGGAATTACAAGAATTATGGATCTTCAATGAATATCAGAGCATCAAAGAGTACCACCCGCGTAATATAAATACCATGGTCTATGTGAAATTGTAATAGTTCTTCTAGTGATCCTTTAACCATTGATATATGTGTGTATATATCAACAAATGGAGGTTCCAAATTATTCGCATATGGGTCTGATAACATTTATCATCATGAACAAAATGTTCACATATCAGCTTAACGTAATCCTAAATCCAAACTGCATATGAAAATGTTATAACAAATTTTGTAATGCAACCAGCTGGATTTTGGCAGGCTGTTATTTCTACTGTCTGAATGTATTTATTAATAACTGAAGTGTAAAGCAACAGTAGAACAATATCTAGCTACTACTGGTTGTAATAAAACATTAACATTAACGTCAGAATTTTTCATAATATATATTTTATATTTTATGTAAATATCTATCGACATAATTATAAATAGTGTATTTGTATTATCAAATGTATGCATATGATATATCAAAGAACCATGTAGTGAAATTATATGTCAAAGAAAAATATTAAATAAATTACCACATAACAACAACATATGCCATACCAACAATGAAACTAAGATATTATATAATGTAGCGAGTACCAGAAGTGTCACGTATCATATAATACGTGTGACTACTTCTTCAAGGAAACTCCAATTTATGATAGACCATTTATATTTATACAAAAACGTTTTCATACAGACATACATAATTGTATATATATACAAACTTCCATTGAAAAAAGATTACCATTTACATTCCAACAAAACGTACTTCGAATGCTTCGCAAATGATTATATCTCACACATACAAGAACAAGACGTGATGATGTATTATATATAGTGTTTACCTTGAAATATATCAACATGGCTGAGATGGTCCAGCCGCTCAATACTCCCCCGTAAAACGCTTATTCTGTTGGCAATTGTCGCCACGTTGACATGCAGCTTCCCAGCCTGTAGCAAGGCTATATCTCTTGCCCTCAACTTGGAAAGCTTACCGGTAGCCTAACGAATAACATAGGAATAGTGGAACATGTATTTGTAGAAAGAAATGAAAATAAAGAACTTACAGTGGATTGAATACAAGAATACATAATTCCTCAAATATCATATCCAATAACAGTGGCTGAAGAATGTGAAATCTAATGCATTATTATCGATTAAGACATATCGTACATTACAATCGAATATGATATATCATAAATTATTCATCAAATACCGACTTTTGTCGCGATGAATATTTGGTTATATGGAGCAGGGAAAGCGAAATTGACCGAGACGAAATTCTCTTTTTTATCAAATGGAGATAGACACCCATATAAATTTACGCAAATTGATTCAATAATACATAGGGCAAATGTATTATTGATTTGATATATAAAGTAATAACAAATACATATTACAAATATTTTATATTCAAAATTAATAGAAATCATGTTAATTTCGCAAAAAAAACAAAAAAGTAATTCGAACTCAAAATCGATAAAACTAGGACAACCTTGTGATTTTTAAGGAAATTATATAGGCACATAGGACATGTTCTAGTAGAACAAGAAAAGATGGTCCGGATGAAAAGCGTTCCGTGTTTCATCGACAGATCCCGTAGTGTATACATGTATCTAGTTCAAATTCAACTAATGTCATTGCCTTCAGTGTTGTTTGATTCACTTTTTGTTTCATTATTCTTTGATTCCTTGAAAACACGAACTTCATTTAAAACTTAGATTATTATCAAATGTCATAATTAACGGACTTGTAAACTTAATAGTGTCTGTGACGCTATACATATCGCCTTAAAACAAACATTATGCACTACATAAGTTGCCAAACTTATCTATCGTTGAGATAAATATGTTATATTTTAGTCAGCAATTTATATTTGCGATCTATAGTTACATGAAATATATTATTGGCTACGCTGTGTTTTTTTCACTGATTCGTTGTAACCATGGTCCTCGATTAGAGGAAGACGATATAATTTAGAATCTTTACACTCAACACCCGCTTTATCTTATTGGCAATGACTTTCAGAACTAAAGCCATTGTATTCCTATGTAACTTTAGAAGTCTTTTCCACTCCTCAACCTGGATAAGTAAATTTTGGTATACAGAAGTAAAAGTGTAAATGTTAAAGCAAAATGTTATACATTTCTAGGCAGTCATCAAAGAAACATCTAATAAAATTATCTATGTTAAGTGTACTACGTTATTGTATATATCTAGCGGAAAAGAAGACAATTATAATCACAATTAAACCAATGGTACGTATTACATACCATACCGTCATAAGACGACCCGTTCCTGACGAACGTCCGCATAAGATCCCTTATTCTACTATTTCGAGACCCAGACTTCGAAGGAGTATCAACGCTGATACTTGTAACAACGTTTTGCATGTTGAACAGTCTTATCTGTAATAAAGATGTTATATTACATACATGGTTTTCACCTTATTCATGACATTTAAGAGTTATTACAGAAACAAGATAATTTTCATCCATTTAGAATGTTAAGTGAAAAGTAAAGTGCTTATTAGATAAGTATATAACGTAATGATTAGTAAAATCTTAAAAAATCAAAAATTGTTTTCTTTTACAAATAAGTTATCTAAATATGGACTAAGGTATAAACCTAATATTCAAAGCTTTGTAATGTTATCAGATATATCTAATTTAAATACCATAGATAAACGTGATACAAAAAAATGTAATGTATTTTTGTTGTAAACTAAAATGAATCGTCCCTCCATTTACTGTCTCCTAAAAAGTGCAGGTATGCCTAGAATTCCACTCATATTGATGAGTACCTTGTAATCAACATCCCCGTTGTCATGAACATCAAATATCGCAGATCCAGCACTTGCTAACGGTCCCTGTCTATTATAAAGTGACTCCCCGGTCGAAAGCACAGCTTGGTAGGCTAAATACGTACAAACAAAAAGATAAAAATAAATGAAACAATGATTTCAGCCTAGCCTTCCCAAATCATTTCACATATTTAATGATAATTAAATTGTCGCATGAATTAATTGTTTGCTTATTCCTGATATGAATAGAAGACTTCCCTTGGCTAACTCGGTGGGAAACTGGACGATTTAACAAACAACTGTTAAATTAAACTGTACAGAAAAATATACAAAAGTGTAAATATTTATTCGTTGGTTTATATAATTACTCCGAAATGTTAAGCTTTACACCGAAAAGTTCGCCCAACAAAGTTACTGTTGTCAATGTCGACTTGTCGATTGCATACATTATTTAATATACGTGTATTTATGTTGACCATTTATGCGCACAAACAAAAATATGGAGATAACAACATTCCGAAACAGTATATTTCTAGCTGTTCATTATTTGGAAGTTTAAAATATCGAGAGAGGTTTGCATATGATTATAACCTGTGATTGAATATAACATTGAGATTGTATCTGGAATCATTAATTCTATCAGTAGTCATGAATTTACAATTTAAATTAAACGACATGAAAAGTATGGCAGAGATGAAAAAAGCACACAAGAAGGAAAAAAAACTTTTTATCTTATTAAAGGTTTAATTCTTGCTCTTATCGTTATTATCAAATGTCATAATTAACGGATTTGTAAACTTAATAGTGTCTGTGACGCTATACATATCGCCTTAAAACAAACATTATGCACTACATAAGTTGCCAAACTTATCTATCGTTGAGATAAATATGTTATATTTTAGTCAGCAATTTATATTTGCGATTTATAGTTACATGAAATATATTATTGGCTACGCTGTGTTTTTTTCACTGATTCGTTGTAACCATGGTCCTCGATTTACGGAAGACGATATAATTTAGAATCTTTACACTCAACACCCGCTATATGTTATTCGCAATGACTTTCAGAGCTATAGCCATTGTATTTCTATGTAACTTTAGAAGTCTTTTCCATTCCTCAACCTGGATAAGTAAATTTTGGTATACAGAAATAAAAGTGTAAATGTTAAAGCAAAATGTTATACATTTCTAGGCAGTCATCAAAGAAACATCTAATAAAATTATCTATGTTAAGTGTTCTACGTTATTGTATATATCTAGCGGAAAAGAAGACAATTATAATCACAATTAAACCAATTGTTTAAGTATATATGTCGACTACACTTCTTAGCGGCAATTAGCTACTATACATCTGACAAATGTCTATCTCGCTATGTCGCGGAGATATCGCTGTTCAAAAAGAGAATGGACGTGTAGTTGCGTAAAAACATGACCGTTTATATACACAATAATCCTTTTCTATTAATAAATGGTCTATGCTTATTTAAATATACATATTTTATTTATTTTCTCTGTTAAAATGTATTACTGTTGATTGTTTTGTTTTTTATCCTTTCGTTTATAAATAGAAAAAGCTTATTGTTCATTCCATATACATGTACTATGTTGCTGAATACATGAAATATATACTAAATATAGGCCACAAAAACGGTTTAGAAGTTGCTTTTAAACAAAATAATCAAAAACTGCAAAACTGCATTATCATAGTTATTCATTCATCAAGCTGTCAACGTATTATCTAGTATCAAAACTCTTAATTTACACTCATACATTAATAAACATCAAACGAAAATACGTCTTTCAGGCAAATACTTAAAATTCACCATGGTATGCATTGCAGTGTGTTTTCGTCGTGTGGTGTAAGATTTAAAAGCTTCGCACATAGCAGATCAGAGGAGAACATGCATGAATGAGATAATACCGAAATGCCTGTAATGATTAAACATATTTTCTACAGGCATTAATGTAAGATTCAATATACAACTTTGTAACACCCAATTTGTTGTAAAAATGTTAACGATCTTTAGCTTCTGGTGTCATATGAAGGATAAGAGTCTCCGTAGTCTAATTTAATTTTCGATTTCCTAACCTACATTACTGCACATAACTTGATAAATCCATCAACATTGTCTAGATAATATAGCCAATATTAATCATGGTGTAACAAGTTATTTAATCATGTGAACACCATCCTATTCTGAGTATACATAGGTTATATCTTTCATGTTGATGAATACTCAACAGTTGCACTTTAAGCACTTATGAATGAAATATTGAAACGATTATTCCTCCGAGTAAGAAATAAGTGATATGAACCAGACCAAGAAAACACGTAAGGAACAAACATACAACATTCGAACATCAACCATACAGGTTATAAAGAAATGCATATCGTCTCTGTCGCAAACAAGTATTTCTCTTCAGTGTAGTTTCCCTACAGGTTTTGTTCTGAAACCGTTCTATGTACAATAGCAAATTAGCAATTTTATGAAATAAAAAAGTCTACATAAACCTTATCATAATAAAAAATCTCGGCGAAATACAATAACAAAAAGGGACAAATTTTACGTTCTGTGAAATGTTTTTGAAAAATACAGCACTATTCTTGGGAGCAATATCTGAATAATTTCTATACCGTTTAGGGAAACAATGGCCCTTACAAACTTCGTTGAATAAAACCAATTAGAGATTGAATGTCCAGGGCCCGTATTCATAAAACCGTTTCCATGCTCAGGCATGGATTTTGTGCTCAAGTTTTATCTATTGTTCCGGTCATAAAGCAATAAAAATATCTTATTATGTCAATGATTTTGTACAATTTTGAAGAGAATTAAAACCGAATTATGTTTTCAATGTTTACATTTGACTTTTTGATCGTTTGATATGTTTTCAGTGAGTTACAAGAAAGTTGGTTTGAGCAAATAATCCATTCTTGAGCATGCGGACGGGTCCAGACCATCTAAAAGCTGTCATTTTGTAATATGCATGATCATAAGGTCCAAAAAGGCTGGTTCCTGTGTTATTTACCCTGGCTTGACCGACAGTATGATATTCGGTCAACTGATTCAGTTCTACATACTTGATGTCGTTTAAAGCGATGTTTCGACGGTGGTGTCGTAAATGGTATGTGTGTTCTAATGTTTTGTAGTATATACCTTATGTAGAATGATGTATCTGAACATATTTCTGTGCAATAAACAAATGTGTTTTACTTACACAAAACAAGAAAAAAATAGGTGTTGTCTTTGCATAATTCGGAAACTGTGAATGCGTTTAAAATGCTTGTTTTTATTGAAATAACCTCTAATTTACGCATTTATTTATGCAAATAGTAAATGCCGCTATTACGAAAGTGGCAGTTTTAAGTGTTTAGAATTAACAAATTGGATAAATCACACCTAGCTGAGTTTATGCTATAAAATGCAAATAAAATGCACTCGCTAACCAGTGGGAATATTGGCGGTATGATAAGTGTACTAGGCTGTCGATAACGTAGTGAAGACCCCCCATGCTCTCCCACACAGCTCTTTTATACTCACTGCCACACGTGAACGTAGGTTTTATATAGCCTATGATGCTTGTGCCTCCTTTCGATGTAACACGAAGCCGAAGTCTTCCGCGTACCAGAAGTTTTCGGTTTTTCTTGTTAGTACTTTTCCAAAACCCTCTTAGTTTATTCTGAAAAAATATATAAAAATAATTAATTTAAGTAAAGAATGTAGAACTTAATGCAAATATATCAATTTCTATGCAAACTAAGCGTTTCCAGAATATTGTTTGGAAATGGAAATCTCTGTCAGGTAGTAAGGCATGCACTTTGGTATATTGCCATATCTACTTCTCCTTAAGAAAGACTTCCTGATTCGTTTCTTCTATAAAAGATAATGTGAGGAAAAGTAGGACTATACGAAGTTTATCAATCGGGACTCATATTTATATAAACTGTTGTTCTTGTACGTAACAAATAAAAACCTAAAGTTAGTAAGATTTATAATGGTGGCAAGAAAAGACTTCAACGTGTTTAAATAAGTGATCGAAAACTATCATGTAGGTAATCCATATTTACGTTAGTCATTTAATACTACATAGGAATTGGTTCCATTACTTTAAATAACGTATTCAATGTCTTGAATAAAGTGGTCTGTTACAAGTGAGGATGTTATGAATAACCCGCAAGTGGTAAGTGAATCAATACTAAGTAACTGTGGCATCAAAGACAGCACATGTAAGTGGAGCAAATCTAGTTATTAAGTGACGCATCAAATAAAGTAAGTAACTCAAACAATGTAGTAAATGTATGTAGTAAGTGTGGTATATCTCATTATATATAATAAGTGACCCATCAAATGCAGTAAGTGACGCAACACACGTGAATAAATGATTTAATATTAGTAACGCAATGCTATGTAGTGATTTGATATTAAATTAGTGACGCAAAATTAGTTCATGGGTGACACTCAATTCTTGCTTATAATCAAATAATAAAAAAACTAATTGGTTAGTCGCGCAATTTTAAGTAACCAGAAAGCAATACTAGATACCAAATAAAGCAATGCTAGTTAGTGCCTCTATTTTAGCCAGTAAGTGACGCAATACTAGATATCAAATAAAGCAATGCTAGTTAGTGCCTCTATTTTAGCCAGTAAGTGACGCAATACTAGATATCGAATAAAGCAATGCTAGTTAGTGTCGCTATTTTAGCCAGTAGGTGACGCAATACTAGCTAGTAAATGATGAAAGACGGATTAATAAGGGATTAAAAATTCGTAAGTTAGTGAGGCAAAACACGTAAGTTACGCATTACAGTCAATAACTGATTTCATACTAGTGAGTAAGTTATGCAATTCCAGTCGGTAAGTGACACAATTCTTGTACATAATCGACCCAGTACTCTTAGCATGTCATTCAAATTTTGCATTAGCATGTGAATAAATGTTAGCGCATCAGCTATTCTATGACAGTAAGTATGAGAATAGATAATGAATAATTAAGTTTGATTGGATTTCTTTACAAGGAATGAATCCTTTACATTCTAGCAATGAATCACTTCACATTGAATCAATAGCGTATACCCTAATTGTTTGGTACTTTACCTTTCGTCGTGATCGTCGTGTCTTTTGATGTAAAATCTTTGTTCTCTTTTCGATTGTTATGAAATATTCCTGTCGTTTACCTTAATAAACATCAAATGAATCAGTACTTAAGTTTACTTTGTTATTCCGTTTATGTGAACATGGTGAGGATAGTATCATAAGTAATAGTCATAACATGAGCGTGACATTCTAGTGAAGGTGTATATCTATATATTGAAATATCATCCTCTCAATCGCTAATTAAAACATATGATTCATTCTGGCATTATCCGCGAAATTAGGTATACGTCAAAATAAAGTGCAATAGGCATTCTACCAAAGATGGAGAACTGTTTTCGACAGAAACTGTTTTGCAATTATGTTACGTAAACAAATTCTAAAAAGTGTTTTTTTTAAAAATAAAGAAACTATAATAACTACTTACGCTTGCTATTAAACAGTCCGTCGTGTATTATAGAATATGATATCCTCTTTTTCTTCAGTCCATAGGTCAAAACTGCATACCCGCCGGCACCGTCCAGCTTTGGGGATACCAATAGCGCGCCGAAGGTCTCTGTACATATAAAAATAATTTGTACATGACGCAATATCATCTTTACATTGCTGGACCTAATTAATGTTAGGTTGATAAGCTCACATGGTATTTTGAAAAAGAATATAACCTATAAAACCCAAACTGCATGTCCTCAAATTCGAAGAATATACTTAAAGAAAATGAAGCATATGAAAAATTAATGTTTATTTACAAACTGACAACAGGATTGACGGTTATAATATTTCCAGTCAGTAACTAATATAACAATTTAAAATGTTAACCTGTAATTCGTAGTGAGATAGATTCCCCGTACGATTTTTTTATTGAGTAATTTCTCTCACAAAATTGGCAACCAATCAACCATTTGATTAACCTGAAATGTACATATACGCATCAGAGATTGCCGCCGTATGACTCTGTTTATAACACATACAGTTATGTATCTTGAAAATGTCAAACGCAGAACAAAACATCGAACGACAGGTCCCAGAAAAATGAATGAGTCAAGAAAGCTGAGGGAAGGCACTATAGACCACGCAGTAAAACTGGTTTGTAACCAACGTATTTAAATAGTAAGTCGTTTTCTGCAGAACATGTGTTACCTCTATTGATAGCATGGAGACAATTGTAAAAGTTAAGGTTATTGAATTTTGTAATTAGTAAAGGATGAACTCACTAAGTTGTCATTACAGTAATGCCTGTTTTTGGGAGACTATAGCTTTTATTCAATATATGTAGAATTTTTTGAGGACAAGAACGAAATACTTGAAGTACTTGAAAGGACAACAGTAGCCTTGACTAAGACTCAAGATGCAGAATATGAATGTTTTCTTCCAGAAAAGCAAACCCAATTTATATGACAAGTGCCAATATGTGTTTAATAAGCAACATTTAAATTTGAGAGATATGCATGATAATTACCTGGATTTTTTCGTGTATCTACTTCCGGTCTGCCACTAACTTCCCCTTTCGGATATGAAAACGTTGTAATAGTGATTGCAATTTCTTTCTTGTGTAAATATCGTAAATAATATAGCGGCAAAGTGGTCCATTCTCCACAGTACTGTAAAACAAGATTTTTTAATTTATCTTCCATTTTCATGCAAGGAAAAAAAGTCTGAGATGACACGTAATCTGAAGTCTTTTAAGACTATATCATCGTTCGGTCGGTCGTGGAATTTTTAATTGCATCAAGATTCAGCAGATTTCCTAATAAACCGCACGTTTACACTAACCGCTTTTATTGCTTGATGATACATTCGTCTCACATCCTTTACTGAAATAGTCATATCAATCAACAGAGCAATTGGCTATGCATAGAACAAGACCCAGGAACAGCAATCCTCGTCCGTTTAATATCCCATTAAATATATAAAAATCAATCACTTATAATTTCAAATTTATCAAAGCTAAATTTTAATATATATGTCCTTGGATTCAAAGTTATCAGCAACAGATAATGATTTACTTTAATGTACGATTACATTGATGGGTTTTGCTTTGACTTAGTCCATCAGTACTAAGCAACTGCCACGAGAATCGAATTATCTCAAGGTAACATTCCCCATAGCGGCACGAACTAACACGTGGCGTTCTCTATTAACACTTGGACCTATAATCATAAAAGAATTTAGACGTTAGACGAATGCTGAATGCTGTGTATTCTTGAATTGCATATTCAAATATAATCTTACATATGTTTAAGTGAAGTAATTTTCTTACAGACTTTTTGGCCACCTTTGGGTTGTTTTCATAAAAAATATATTAAGTTTACCAACATTTGAATTTTGTCTTATAGTTAAGATCCTGAATGATCATGGGTATACGCTGTGAACCATTCTTAATCTGGAATCAGATAAATTCTGAAAATTGGCAAATTGCTTAATAACGTTTTAATATATTTATTAAGATAAAGCAAAAGAAGACAAACATTAAGGTATATGAGAACCTAGTTCGCACACAGCATACATGATGTAAGGGCGGAATATAAACAAATGGTATATTTACACAGTGATCCTTGAAAAGTACAAGTAGAATAGGATCATACAATAATAGTTTTTAATGATTTGTTTTAGTTCACTTTTCGCAACAAAAACAAATTCGACGGTCAACAGATATCCAAGGGGATGACACATAAAACTCAAACCTAACCATTAAAGAATCTTAAAGTGAATGCTGTCTGAAATATTTATCCCAGTCCATAAAAATCTCTGCCATCGAAATAGTTAAGTTTTACTTGTATGTGACTTCAATGTCACGCTTGGCGGTGTCTTTCACATAACGTGACAATAATATTTGAACCAATATCTGGAACGAGCACGACTCACTAATGTTGTTCTCTCGGCACTTCTATTGTTCGTTATTATTTAAAACAAACTCACACATCTGTTTCAATTTGATGACTGTTAATTATTCTTTACACATCTTAACATACTTGCAGAATGGCATTCCTTTGAGTGCGGATCGTTATCAAATACTCTTAACTTTCAAACTACAGGGAAGTTGTTTATGCAATTAAGTCGCTACACTTAAAAAAAAGATGGCAATTAATTAAAATTCGTTCTATCATCGCTTCAATACATCGTCCTTGAAGCTTTTTCTAAACCCCAATCAAATGGCGGAGGGCATCTGAACATCCTACTACAATTTCCATAGTGTTGAGTCTATTCACTATATCTGAGGTAGCGTGCCTCTACCCCTCTTCCACGCCACTAATCAAGATTTTCTCGTTCATAAAATACCTTGTTATCATCTGTAGGAGCTTCCAGACGCTTTTGTATCAGAACGTTTCCGTTTCTGTCTATCATTTGAATGGATTTAGGTCGATTTAATCTGTAAATACAAAACAAAAACACCTAGACAGACATAAATTGATACCAGCAATTTGTCAGGTACAGAGAATAAGGCACAAAAGAAATAAACGGATACTGCAATGAAATTCCTAGAAGTTAACGGTTCCTCAAGCAGGAGAACATTTACGTATGTGTTATAAACTAGACTACCACTAACGCACTTTATGTTATTATTGCTTATGTAAACAAATGTATAACATGCCTCTTTGCATAATGCATCTGGAAAAATAAAAATAAAGGTTACATAAACATACGTAGAAACACTTGTATTGATCAAATAATGGTGCACTATAACACATCAGTTGAGTTAAATTCTACAAGAAGAAAATTTAAATCGAAAGAAAAATTTAGGTTCAAAAAGGGATATGCTACTTTCAATAATAATTATATTGACGGTTTGTGTAAGATATATCCTAAAATTGTTTTTTGCTTATCAATTGTGAGTGTCATCAATAGATAAATCAATTAAGTAAGATACTATTTTCTAATCATGAAACACATTTTAAACATTTCCTAATGAAAATCTCTACTGAAAGGAGTTGCAAGGCTCATTTAGATAGAATATTTGTTATTATATAAATTGATATGCAGAAACGAAAGAAAGTCTAGTAAACTAACTGTTATGTGAAACCTTTCTAGCGCAATAATTCGAAGACATAGTCTGTTAGCGCTTTTATCAAATGAAAGACAGAGTATATGAATTGCTTTACTCTTGTATTTATTTCATACATAAAAATATTCATTTTAACATTTTCACAATTCTGTTTTATAACGAGAGATACTTAATATGACTGACGATTGATATATTATATCGACAAATTCTCAGTCTAACCATTATGAAAATTTCATTACATTGTTTCTGTCAGGTTAAAAATAGACGTCATATGATTACAGGTTCCTTTGGAAGTCAACATTAAAAATCAATGCCGCATACCATAACTTACACAATACGTCAAATCAATACTGTATGTTATCACAGGCCCAGGGTCAAAGTCGATCATAAGATAATGATTAAAATTATAGTTTATGACATAATATATAAAGCATGTATTATTATATAAAATAGCGTTCCTTATAACAATGGCCAGTGACAAAGCCAATGAGACATATACATAGTAACGTACCATTCCTTATAGCATAGGCCTTATACTATAAGCCGAGGACAAAACCAACATTTTATATACTTATATCAACGTAAAACACCATACCCAATACTATAGGCCTGATAATATAGGCTGGGGAAAAGTCAATACTATAAAATATAGTTAAATACAAAACACCATACCCAATAACATAGGCCTGATAATATAGGCTGGGGGAAAGTCAATACTATAAAATATATTCAAATACAAAACACCATACCCAATAATATAGGCCTGATGATATAGGCTAGGGAAAAGTCAATACTATAAAATATAGTTAAATACAAAACACCATACCCAATAATAAAGGCCTGATGATATAGGCTGGGGAAAAGTCAATACTATAAAATATAGTTAAATACAAAACACCATACCCAATACTATAGGCCTGATAATATAGGCTGGGGAAAGTCAATACTATAAAATATAGTTAAATACAAAACACCATACCCAATAATAAAGGCCTGATGATATAGGCTGGGGAAAAGTCAATACTATAAAATATAGTTAAATACAAAACACCATACCCAATAATATAGACCTGATAAAATAGGCCTAATAATATAGGCTGGGGAAAAGTCAATACTATAAAATATAGTTAAATACAAAACACCATACCCAATAATATAGGCCTGATAATATAGGCTGGGGAAAAGTCAATACTATAAAATATAGTCAAATACAAAATATCATAAGTGGGCTTGTGTCGAATTCCGCACTATACGTCAAATACTACTCCTTATAACATATTTATAAAAGGAATGTAGTTTGAATGAAAACTCCGTGGAAAGTGGTTTTATGAAGTGTATTATATTGCATGCACGGGTCATGTCCGTACATTCTCGTATATTTACACGTGATAGCTATAATGCACGAACGACTGCCGCTAATGACGTTAGGTTTTCACCTTTACGATCAGAGGAGTTGATATTTTTACGGCACAAAGTATACCCTAACGTGAAGTTTGATACTTCCTAACGGGACCTGTGTTGATAAGATAATACCTACTCTTTTATCCGTTATAATGTAGTTTACTTTACAGCAAACAATACCACGGGCATCATCTGCCATCTAAACCAATGGTTGTATGCAGATCTAACTTAGGGGAGGATGAGACGAGTATTTATGGGGGTTTTATCACATGTTTAAGTACAAGAGAAAAATGCACAGACATATTCTTAAAATTCTTCCTTCTATCAATCCAGGGGCTTTCTTCTGAACGGCTTCAGTTCGCTGCACACAATTTAACTTTACAAGAAATGCTACCTGCAGTCAAGAATAATTGCCTATGGTTCAAATTCCAAAATGCCCCTTATAGCCGTTGTCACGTACTGCGATCCTTTAAATAGGGATTCAACCAGCGCGTGAAGATAAGATAGGGTCTTCCCTATGTACGGTTCACAACCCTTAGGTCATCTTAGATTCGTGTTTACAGGAAAAAAAACTCGAGCCTCACATTCCACGATCAACCTTAAGATTGTTAGTATACTAACTATTAACACTAGCATATTTTGTTTAGTATGCAGCATACTGACTCCATTAAGCCAAGCACTACATTTCACGATCAACCTTACGATTGTCGAGTGTGCTATCAACACTAGCAACTTGTATTTAGTATGCAATATACTGACTTGATAACAAGTCCGTTATGTTTGTGAAAGAGCATGCAAATATTGTTCTTTTTTTTCATTTTTGTTTTCATGGAATGTTTGTATTTTTATGGATTGTACTGAACAATGAACAAAATTGTTACTTAAGTTTCAACAGAGTACATTTACAGTGCACGTCTATCTTACATACGATACGCAATGCAGTAAATTTACTGTTAATAGTATAACACATATATGATTGTTAAATATTGACAAGCTACGTACGGATCATCTACATTACCAGTTGGTAAAAGGTAACAAACGATGACCGCCTCCATTTTTGCACGATTCTTTGTATAGGTGCTTGTATCTATATTTACAAGGAAAGTTATTTAGGAGTAACTTTATTAATTTTTACAACAATTACGAAACACATTTTATGAATTTATATTAATCTTTACTGTAAACCCAGATAGCAGAATGTAGCATCATAACACGTAGTAAAATAGCTTAAGGGTATATAGTACCCTATTGTGACATTTGTTTCCGTGGCAAAAAGTTCCACACGAAGGTCAATTATTTGAAGATAAAAAGATAAACAATACTTATATAACCACCGGTATAATTTATAAAAAAAAAAAAAAAATCCAACAGACTTTTTTGGTTCTAATATAATAACAGTTATATAGCTACACAAACAAATATATATATAAAGACATATACACCTACAAATTATATAGAACTCGCATGTTTATCGTTTCGCAATGGAGTTAAGGTAACATGTGAGATTATTCTATTGAAATTGCATGTATTTACAAATAATTTGTTTTGGTACTGCGACATATATCCTTTAAACACGGGTGGTAAATGATTTTCAAAAACTGCTACCAGATCATCAAATGCATCCATTGCTTCTTTAATTTGCTTTACACCCTAAACATAACACTTCAAGATATTGTTAAGCCGCTACATAACGTTAATTTCCTCATGGTTGTGTAAAGTGTTATGTTACTCTCTTGGCATCAACGTTTATGAACACGTGTCTGAATGCTTGAGTACGGTCACCTATTTCTTTTTCGCGAGTTTAATATATGTTTGTTTATGTCGTCAAAAGATTCAATCTTAAATTGAAAATCTCTTTGGATTGTGTTTTGAGACACATGTAATCTTTGATGTTCTGCTATTTTATTTGTCATTCAGAGGATGAAATCCTTGTGATTATTTAATTGTAAGATGCAGAATCGCAAAAACAAATATGTTCATGATAATTCAAACGTATTAAGCCTGCTTACATGTACTATACGCCTCTTTATACCTCATAAATTTAAGAAGAAAAAATAATGTAAAACTATAATGCAAACCTTTATTTTTTAAGAATGAAAATAAAACGGCATATGCAAATTAGCATTGCAAGTCTAGAATTATAATATTAGATTTATCTAATTGTTGAACCTTATGTTGAATAGTAATAATAGCATAGAGTAATAGTATTAGTGTCATTCAATGTACATCTTACAACCGTGAAAAGATTAATAAAATTAGGAAATTGTAACGGAGCGAAAACGGGGTATCCCAGTCGAGGGCTAAAATCATGTAATGTTAGCCCAACTGAGGCGTAGGGCGAGGTTTTGATGTTACAGAATCTTAGCCAGAATAAACTAAAGGTACATTTGAACGGCTCCGCCTAAGCAATTTAGTATGTCCTTACAAGGAACAACACATAGTTCACAGTGTTAATTATATTTTTTTTTAAAACAATCTGTATCTAAAATCATCAAAACATTTCATATAACAACAAAACAGAATTAAAAACCGTACTAGTGTATCACTTGCACTAGCGGGCATAAAAGTACCAGACAGATCGGCCGAGATAGAAAACCTAGCACTGGGTATCACCTGAGATATATCCCTGTGTAGGTGCGAGAGACAATGTATATGTACAATCTCTATTACAATTAATCGATATAACAAGGATAAGGACATGATTCACGAAAATGCCGAACAGCTTTCCCTCTGTGTTTTTGTCATCGAATGCAAAGCCATCTGGTTATTGAATATAGATCAGAACTGTTTGATATCTTCAGCAGATTTTTTCTATCCCGTACGATCGATATGCCATAACGTCGCCATATTGAATATGTATACATCAGTTATTTGATAACTGTAACAGAAATATCTGTGTCTCGCTCGACTGATATTTTAAAGCACTTAGATATTGGATAGACATTATAATTTTGATAATATAAACACAAAAATGGCTGTCAGACATGGAATGATTGTATTCACACACCTATGACTGGAAACATTCATCGCGGAACTGTGTATTCTAGTATGTTTTTCATGGTATCCAGATAACATTAACAGCAGTGTTTTTTTCGACCAAACACAATGAAATACTTGCACACCGTATCTCTATAAATTTCTAATAAAATTACAAAGCAAAAATTGTACAGTATTTTGTAAATACATGTTTTTTGTTGAAACTGGCAAAACATTACGATAAACATCGATATGTTTAGTTTATCTATTGTTTAATATTTAAAGGAATAGGCAGTAGAAAATCTAAAATTCAATATTCTGATATTAACTGAATTCAGTAGACATATTGATAATCAAAGTGAAATGAGCAGACTGTGACACAATCGGAACCAAATATCGGTACGAAAAAATACAATTCGAGCAGGCAAGACACCTTAAATGGAATATCCCTTTTAAAATTAAACCTTGCGATCCGGACAAAAAAAAATCGAATCACAATTTCTGTCAGACCTAGAAGTACCAAGTTAACACTTATATGTTGTAATGTAGTTGGAACGCTTTGGTCAAAATGTCTTAAAATAGTCTTACATTCGTACTCCTATCTCTGTCTCTGCTATGTACATTACAAAACCGTGTCTCATAGAATTTCCAAACACACGTGCGGGACTGCATAGAACCACCTGTGTATCTGGCGGCTGTGATTGATGCGAGGTAAACTCGTGTAGTCTGCGTCACTTGAGACATCGCCATTAGTCAACGTCTCATTAGCACTGCTTGGCTTCTGTACAAGTGTTTACAGCGTTGGTGTCAGGGTCTGTACTTTTTACTACACCTAGCTTGAGCTTCATTTTGATACATTTCCACACTTTTTGTAACTGGGATACATATTAAAATACATTTTAACTATATTGACCAATCTAACGTTTCCTTTTAATTGATGTATTCAAGACATTTTAATAAGATATAGCGTGAATCCCAATAAACGCGATTTCTAGAGAACTATACAATATTTGAACGCAATATAAATCCATATTTTATTCGCCTGACTGTTTTTCAATATCAGAATTTCGATATTATATTATATCTTTACGTAATACTTCCACTACAAGAAACACTGTCTTAATATTCTTCGTCGACGTTGAACAAAGGGTCATGCAGAAAAATTTAAAAGTTCGATAAATAGTTCATGTGCTTAGAAAAAGACTTGAAAACAAGCAATTGAGGAACAGAATAAGTAATAGAATGACCGTTAACCTCGTCAAGGCCCCTCTGATATAGGTTCAAGCAGATTTCACTGAGTTGGTAATGCATCATACAAAAGACATCTTATACATAAATCTTAACGACCAATCCAGCAGGGAATTCGATGTATTTATTTATTGAATTATGAATTATAATTACCGTTCGTGTCGCAGTGTGTACTGGATTCCGCCCGAGTTTGTCACCTTTAGCTTGACCACAGCAACGGCCCTAGTATATACGGGTATCCGACCAGGTACGTTCCGACCCACCAGTAACGCTATGTAATCTGCAATGATCATATTCGAATTACGTTTATTATCTTAATTTTTGTACAAGTCAGATATATTTAACCTACATAAGTGATTTAAGTGTTTTATTTCGTGTTCAAAAAGAAGTAATTTAAAAATGGTCAATTCGAAAAAAGTCCATTTGAAAATTTCCATTAGGATTCACCTGATTATTTATACAAGGCGAAGATTGATACAAATGCTCCACATTTTCGGAATATCTTGCCATTACGTTCATAGCACTATAAACGGTTTTAAAACTTTGAATGATTGTTTTCATTTAATTGCATTATTATTTATTTCTACAACACTTTATCGTTACCAAAACTGATAGTGATCAAGTGTATTCTGCTTAAGTACAACCATATACTAGGTGCAGACATATACTGATGTCTAGGTATATAATTGTTACTGTGACATGCATTAACTCACTTTTTGATTTATATTTATCGATCGTCTTCCCGTCTCCGGTAAGCGCCGCATCCACTTCCGCTTCCAGATCAACCGGAAGAAGGGAATATTTGTCTTCAAACGTCACTGCTGCAATTAACGGAGAGCGAAACAAACTTTAGGTACTTGAAAACATGAATTCTGTTGATATAGGAGAACTACAATATGGCATCTGTTACTATCGTATGCGTAAGATTTTGAGACTAAAGTATTTTCTACTTTCATTAATCGACCGATAAAACGTACCGTATAGCATCTTTGTGGAAAAAATTAAAGACATAATACTTTTTGATTTCTATTGATATCGGCTTCTATTATCATTCACCATACTACGATCCTTTGTAGACATCCTTTGTCTATGTGATTGATTTGACAGCTTGCGTACACTAACATTATAATAACAAAAAAAGTTTTATCCCTAAACGTTTGTATAACGAGTATAAGAACTGTATCTAATTGTTATGTTTCAGATATTCAAATGCACCTGGCGAGCACTCTACATGAAAGTTAATACACCTACTGCAAATCATGTAATATGCGTAATTTCTTCTTTTTTATTTTATTTTTTGCTTTAACCGACTTTTTTGCGGGGAAAATAGATTTTCAAGATCTTACTTTAACATTATAATGAGTGACATGTGATCATATGATGTAACTCGGTTGTTAGATGGAAGAGTCGTATAAACATGAAACATTTTATATTCTACCACAGTGACAACACATCTTGATTATTTTAATACTAATCTTTTTTATAATCAATCAGAATCAATTAACGTAAGATTACACTTCATCATTCCCTACATTCCGTTTAATAAAAAGTGGAAGTGTTAAGGGTTTGGGTCGTTCATCCTACCACACAATATCGCGCTCATGGATCGTAAATCTGGTGGATAACGACTAGAGACCTTTCCACCATCAGTCGACAAAACGTTGGCGATGAACCGCGAATGTGAAGCGTGAAATATAAGTTCTAAACAAGTAAATCCCCCGATGTTTAGGATTCTTATGTACTTGTCAACACAAACTGCCAAAACATTGTTTGTTGAGACTAGAAAAGAGAAAAGTTTACATAACGCCTGTAATGCTTTCTATGTTGTTTACGGTAGTTGTAAACTGATCATTGTTATTAGCGCTAATTAGTAGCAACAAGCTCAGCATGTGATGACACATTGAATACGAGAGAAACACTTGCCAGGAACACAAATAATGAGATCACAGGGTTTCACCTAAGAGGTTAAAACAAAAGATGGTATGCAGAAAGGACACATCGTATTACAAATACTATATATCAGTCTATCTTATCAGTAGTTTATTTTCAAGATAGTCTGGAAATAATTAATTTGCATCGATTTCAATTTGCAAGCGATTTTTCGCGAGTCTTTGTTTTCGAATACTACCAAACAGCGTTTAGCATATAATTATGGCAATAGTTTTGCAACTGAGATGATTGTATTCTTAAGTATATAGAGAAGTATATCACATTTAAATATATTCAACCGTTTATTGTCATCTTCCAGCGATACAAAACATACCTTTCAAATCAAATACAGTTTAAATACGTCAGCTGGATTGTTCTCGTTAGTTTCTTAACATACGAATTAAATGTGTAGGTATAACTTTATCCTACTGGCATACTGATGCAAAATGCATATTGGAATCGGCAGTCCTACCTAATAGTGTATGTGTAAAACACACTAAGGAACTATGTGGTATTTCTATTATCAGACGTGACACTCTCCCAGTGAGGTAACATTACTCCTTATCACCGATACTATCTGACTGTGTAATAGATTAGACAGCTGTTTCATCCGGCACCGAATATTATACATCTTCATTGGTGACAGATATTTAAAACAAAAAATATAAAAATGAATCCTTAAATACATGCACATATGTTATCGGAGTCAAAATGATTACCATAAGGTAGCATGGCTGATAAACACTGTCGTAACTTGATTTAACAATTTGTGTTGAAAATTTCACTGATTATGTAATGAACCGATGGGTAATGTTTTAACAAAACAGAATGCAGACAAACATCATGTTAATAGTATCGTGCTATTGAGGTGTTATGTCTAACCACAACACTGTAACGTGACAGTATGGACCAAACATGCGAAGTTCAATAAAAGCATCACTGTTAAACTACTCATTATGTGCTATGAAAATAAAATGATATCGAAATGTTTGAACAGGCAATTGGGTTAAATTGGGCGATTAACTTAAGATGAATGAACTTGTTCACCCGTACGAGCGAGAAATGTACAAAATTAATGTTTTCCATATAAAACAATTTAATACGCTTTTGTAGACACGATCTTTTAGTATTGTGGCGTTATATATTGTTGTATTGAGTGAGTTGTATGGCCACCAGGCGGTGTAGTATATAGCGATATAGGAAGGTATCGCATTGTAATTATTTAGTATGTTCACATCATAACGTACATGTACTCCAATTAACATACCGTACACGCCTGTTCCATGTTTTCCCATTCAACCATTGCGCAAGAAGACGATTTATCAGTGTGAAGAACATTTGAATATCTGTTAGATAGTTGCAATTAAACAGGTATTGAAAGGAATGCAAACTTCAATAAATTTTCATCATAATATTTTGAAATAGAACATGAATGCGTGCCTAATGTGTTGGCTCAATTATAAAGTGCATATTTTCGATACAGGTTTATAGGCATTTACTACATTTACTACATAACTTATATAATTAAACCATGAATTTCAATATTTTATCAGATACGGACAATTGTTTCTTGTACTTAGAGTGAATTTGCGTAAAGGTTGTTAATGTGATAAGTGTGACAGTTAAAATTATATAATAACCTAACATCTGTGTAAGAGTAATGATTACCTGCTACCTGGCTTTTTATACATGCTATTTACATTAGACATACGATTTAACGATATGAAAACTGTATGTGTTGTATTTGTGTTAGAGTTAAGTTTATCTGCTATTTTACATATTATACTTTTGATTTGTTTTAGCTTCAAGCTAACTGCTATCTTACCGAATATACATGTGATGTATGTAAGAGTAAAGGTTATATACTACCTTACACATTATACCTGTGATATGTGTTAGAGTTAGGGTCATATACTACCCTACACATTATACATGTGTTTGGAATAGAGTCAAGGTTACATACTACCTTACACATTATACCTGTTATATGTGTTAGAGTTAAGGTATATGCTACCTTACACATTACACCTGTTATATGTGTTAGAGTTAAGGTTATATGCTACCTTACACATTATACCTGTTATATGTGTTAGAGTTAAGGTTACATACTACCTTATACATTATACCTGTGATATGTGTTAAAAAAAGGTTATATGCTACCTTACACATTATACCTGTTATATGTGTTAGAGTTAAGGTTACATATTACCTTATACATTATACCTGTGATATGTGTTAAAGTTAAGGTTATATGCTACCTTAAACATTATACCTGTGATATGTGTTAGAGTTAAAGGGATATGCTACCTTCCACATTATACCTATGATATGTGTTAGAGTTAAGGTTATATGCTATCTTACACATTATACCTGTGATATGTGTTAGAGTTAAGGTTATATACTACCTTACACATAATACCAGTGTTTGGTGTTAGAGTTAAGGTTACATACTACCCTACACATTACACGTGTGATTTATGTCAGAGAAAATGTTATCTGCTTCCTTACACATTATACATGGGATTTGTGATAGCTTTAATGTTAATTATCTACTAATTAAACCATTAAAATTTTATTTGTGTTATATTTCAGGATTATCTTCTTATATGGACATGATACCTGTGATATGTGGTAGCTTTAAGTTATTGCTGCCTTGCTCATCATACCTGTGTTTGTGCTACAGTAAACATGATCTGCTAACGTAAATATATCATAATTGTGATTTGTGTTAGAGTTAAGTTTACATACCATCTTACTCAATATACCTGTGATTTGTGTTAGAGATAAGCAGGTTATATTATGATTAACATACAACATACGGGCTTTTGGAAAGGATAGATATTTTAAAGTTAGGTGTCATTCTTGCCTAGGTGACAAATAAAGTTTGGTCAATATGTGACTACTTTATTGAGAATTAGCTAATCTGCACAACTACATGTATGTGCAAATTATCGCTAATACCGCTAAAACGTAGGTTGACATGTACAGATAATCGTGGTCGTTCGAACATATGCGCTTCCATATATTTTTGAGTGGGTTTAATACATCTGTATTTAACATCTTTAAACATTTTCATGTGCAGTGTTTGAGAAATTTATTCTGCTCTTGACCCCGGTCAAATATCTACTTGACCACAAAAGCCAGTATATTTTGAGTCATAGAAGTAAATGTATCTATTACTTTCGTAACAAATAAACCCTTTCTGAAGTGTTTGTACAGAAACGTACTCCGTGCTAAGTACTACCCCCATGCAGAGGTGTGAGCGGCCACAGCAAATACTTCCTTCTGTTTGCTCATTAAACAATTACTCGCTATTTCTCCTATCGTAGGGGCTAACAAGGGGAAATTGAAAGGTAGGAAAGGTATGATATCAAATGATTCATATAATGTATACAGCAAATACAGCAAATATATTATTTATTGTGGTTTTTGAATTTCTACTGAAACAGTGACTTTTATCGCTGGTTTCTTGAAAATTTAACAGTGCTAATCACTTAAATACAAGACTGTTATTTAAGCATTCATTCACTGGCCGATTCGACAGAAATTATTTTATATTTTATTTTCATTTTTTTAACATAATCAAACAATTCCCTTACTTGATTTCAAGTTATTTTTAGAATGTACACGCGTGTTAAATTTCAAGGAGTCAAATGTGTGTGAAAAAAATACAACAGTGTGACAACTGAATTTTTACTGTGCGAATTCTAATCTCCATGAAATTTATGATTAGAATACTCTTTTACCAATGGGTGAGTAATTGAAACTGTTAAAGGATACTTTTATTAGATCTGTACATGCCCATGTCCGTACCAAAAGCTCATTGATGTCTGTATGACAACATTGGTACGCGACTTTGGTTACAATAAGCGAAATTCAAATGAGTTCTGACTAGTTTTTTTCATAATAAAAATTGTTTTTATCATAAGGTTAACGTTTTTGTTCACAATTATTCTTTCACTTGTGGAATATTAGGACGTTATATGGGGTGTACTTCACGTAGGACACGGTTAGGTGATACTAAACATATTACATAGTTTACATATCAAACATTGATATATTTATTACATTGAATAACGGTCCACATAAATCTAGGAACAGTATATGGCTCTGTCCACAAATCATGTAAGTTATATTGTGTAGAAGCAATGGTGAATGGAGATTATATTTTAAGCATGAATACCATGTAAAGGTTAAAACGTTTTATACATAAAAAATTCCCGTGTGCTTTCCCAAGCAGTAATCTTTTCAATGAAATTACCTTTTATGTTATGTCTAGATGTAGTGTTTTCTACAGAATTACCCCCTCAGCTATTCTTAAACTGCATTCATCATGTGTGCTATGCCTCGCTTCTTGTAATGTTAACTACAGTATTGCCCCTTATGCTATTGTAAGTTGTATTTTATTCTACAAAATTGTCCCCTATGCTATCCATAGTCGTAGTCTTTTCTATGGTATTTGGCTAATGTTTTCCAAAACGGTGGTCTTTTCCAGAAACCCATCCCGTATACTATGCGTCTAAGCAGACTTTTCTATACCAGTATCCCTTCTGCTATCCCCAGCCGTAGGCTATGCTCAGTCTACAACCTTTATTCACAACAAAACATATAGAAAGTGTTGTCTTCTCTTGCCGTGTTCCATACTTAACACTATGTTTTCACCTTACCAATACGCTTTAGTTGTGCAGGAAGAATTTTGTTTCGTCATGCTGGGGCTTTATTTAAAAAGCAATTTTGATTTGAAATTCATTTCTATTCTTTGTTACGATGAAAATAGTCTGAGTTAGCGGTACTTGACACATAAATGGAGCTATGTAGGAGGACTGGACAATACGTTAGATGGTAAATGTTCCGTGCAAATGCTGTTAAACACCTCCCAACAATATTGAAACGGGGAAACAATTAATACAATTTGTCAAATTCAGTCAATATTTGATTTTTGAGTAGAGGAATGTTTGTGAAGAAAGGACTGAGACTCGCTCTATGTCTGTACCGAGGACCGAACGTTTACTATAACACTTACAGGCCCCTCCAGCGGTCAGTGTTTTTGTTGACCCCACATAACTAGACACGGTCGTCATTGTAACACTCAGCTGACCTCATGGTAGAAATAAATAGGGATGGAATTCCAGCAGATTTCAAATAAATAGGATGGAATTCCAGCAGATTTCATTCTTTTAATTTTACATTTGGTCGCATTCAAATATTTCTTTCACATATTACTTTGCTAAATGTTACAATATAGAATTTTTGTGTATCTTATCAAAACGGAATACATGTTAATCTTGAAACAGATAAGTTTTATTGTCAATGTCAATAATGATGAGCATGACAAATACTTTATCTTAAATAAAACTGACAATTCAGCTTATTAAGAAAATTAATGAAAATCAATTACCAGGATATATCGTTGCACCATCTTTACAACTGAAACATGTTTTTTGTGAATTTAAAATGGACATTTTAAATGCAAAAGTTATAAAAGGAACAACAACGAATGTGACGTAATAACGATGTTTTGGACAACAGTGTCAATTCAGTCCCATGATGCAACAGACAAAAGTTCATTTTGTCTTGATGAATACTAGTTCGATGAAAAGTCTTAAAAGCTTTTCACTTCACTAGATGAAATATAACTGATATTGTCCCGAAAAAAAGGGAATACCCTTTTAGCATGAGATTCAAGTAAATTAATAATAAGAAAGCCTAATATGCAAACCCAAGTTGCTAAAATATATTTACAGATGTTTAAAAATAACTGAGGAAAACATTTGTTGTTTTTGGGATAAAACGATACATGACATTACCTCAGGCTAAAAAACAAAGAAATATGATATCCATAAATTCAGGTTAATTAATGTGGGTTAGTGTTTTGCGGAAATATTTTATATATAAAGACTTAAAAGTTGTCAACCCTTTGCTTATATTAATGTACTAACTAGATCTTTTTGTTATGTTTTTTATTACGAAATGTTGGATTGGGACAATGCACGAAGGCATGGTCAAAACTTAGCATTGAATACGCTTATACAATGCAACAGAAATTCGACAATTGAATATGATTAATATTGATGTTATGTGGATATGTTCTCCAAATGAAATATTTCAATCATATGACCAAAACGTTAAAATTATAAAGAACTCAACCTTTTGACATTTTGTCATATCTTAGTCGTGATACTGTACTTGGTGTTTATGTACCACGGATGTACCTTGGTTCTTGCGTTGCAATTACACATTATCGAGAGGTATAATCATTCGTATATTTGCTCACAAGCACGTAAGTAAAATATTTGATAATTAAAACAAGTTGATTGATAACTGGAAAACTTTTTTTTGTTTTAAAGAATGTTATATTATTAAAATATTTCCTATTGTCACCGACGTTAATGAATGAAACACTTTTTTATGGTAATTAGGGGTTAAATGCCTTCGCAACAGGTGCGAAAAAGAAAGAGCAGGAAAGTCAGCCAAAAGACATTTGTTATGTTATGATTTAATTATCTAAGAATGTTCTTCTGCTGCCAATATCATTTTTTGTTCTTGTTAAATTGCTAATATTTGATCGGTCAACTCAATTCCAAAATAACAAGCTTATAAAATATTTCATCTATAACCGATTTTTAACTCGAAAATATGGGTGCAGGTATCACGAAATTTGCGCCATTTATAGCTTATGTACTTTTTTTCACGAATACATCGGAAATGTCGACAATCCAATCAGTACAAGCTCTAATGTCCGCCCGACACGGCGTGGCAGGTGTGAATCTGATAGAGGGAGTGGGAGGTTGGTAATAAAATGTACATCTGGCTGCTACCCCATCTAACCGTGAGTCAGTGTGCAGGTGTCGAAGGCATTCCAGGTCCATGTTCTCACCCTATACTTCACCATTAACTAAAATCCTGCTTCTGTTCTTAGTTTCACAATCATTGCTTAAATTGAGGAATTTCCATATCTTGACTTTTTTTTTTGTCAAATAAGAATGCATTGATGAAATTATAGCAAATATCTTAAACCTAATTTTTTCCTCAAATACTTCCGAAGGAAAACATATTGACTGAAGAAACGTTTGTGAAATTGGGTCAAGTTATATTAAGGATAAATGCCACTTCACAAATATACTGTGACCTGTTTGTTAGAGTTACCTCCCTTCTATATTTTTTTTAAATGCCAACTCCATATTCATAAACCAAATTGGGTAAGTTCTTAACGCAGTATCCTATTGTAAGTGGTATCTTGATGCAGGTGTAGCAAGGTTGGAAATAACTGTTATGGGAAGTTTAAAGCGATATCCGTATATGGTTGTCTCTAAATAATTTCTCGAGCTGGTTTAAGTGCACAAGATTGAACAAGAACAGTTCTTAATGATTATAGTTAATCTTCTTTAATGGTGATTATTTCTGCATAATTATATATGCAACTGCGCTTTAATGTTGAAATAATTTTAACTACACTACACTATGTCGATAATTTGTCAGATTATGTTGACATCTTTTCTATAATGATGTCGACATATACATTGGCAGACATTTACCACACTATATATGACAATAACTGAAACCCGTGACTTTTTGTCTCCGCCTGATCCTATAAACAATCAGTACTTACTGTCTCCAGGACATGACTTGCAACATTTGTCCGGAAGTAGAATTGGATTAGGGCAGTTCGGTAACGGACATTCATTCTCAATTTTGACACATCGCACTTTCCCGTAATGATGTAGAATCCCTTTCCTCATCAACTGTGTAAATAAAGTAACGTGCTATTAAACATACATTACATTTCCTCTGATTTAAATACAATATACTTTAATCCACTTATAATATCTATACATATATAAACGCATTATAAAAAAGAGACTTCAAATCACACGTGATCAAACTCAAAAAAATATGTCAAGGACTATTTAAATTTTTACGCTACAATTTTCCTCGATATTCAGGGTTTGTGCCCTTTGCTTGCAATCGTCCAACTTCAAGGAACCTGACTATCTACAATATGTTTGGTCCAACATATAAAGTGCCACGATTTACATGGAGATTCTTGGGGATCCTTGTTACGTTAATTAGCAGAGTTGAGAAATTCATCTATCATCATAATGGCGAGAGCTTAAACACAAAGGCTTCGACGAATTATGAGTGAGAGTACAATGTTAAAAGATTTGAAAGAAAAGTTAACAATTAATTTGAAATCGTGGTTGGTTATTGGCATGCGTATATTTATATGAGTAATACCTTTATTAGAGAGTCACCATACCTAGGGTCCCGAGGGTTCAACTGTTACCCTCGGTAGTGTTTATTTAAGCAATGAATAGTTGTAGATGGACGTACGGCCCTATAACACCGATCTCTAATACTGACAGACTTATACAACAGGTCGTAATTTCTATAAACAGTGACATCATTGTTGTCACAATCAGGTTCTGGTCAGTAATCAGCAACGTCCTATTGGATAAAGTAATGCATGTTACGTTACAATAGTGGTCACCTAGGAGGATGTAGTGAATTCAACAAATACAAAGACGTCGAATAAGTTTTGAAATATATCTATATAATAACCTTGAATGAGCCTCTATAAATTTACGTTTTCTGAAATTGCATTCCAATTTGATATCCCTTTTCCTCTCCATTATACCGCAAGACAATAGCGAAAGAAATAGTGTATTTTCGGCTAAACTTGCAAATGGTACAAACTAAAGGTATCCATTAGGTGTTTTGAACTATCTGTTTTAAAATTCATTTTAAACGGACGGCAGATAAACTATACTGTTACCTTGTTACTGTCGTGAAATGCTTGTTTAAGTCCTTTTCAAATGAAAAACGCTTTAAAAGCCATATGTTGCAATGCATGTTATAGAAGTAAGGTGGTTTGAAATAAGAAAATCTAAAAAGGGAAATAAAATAAAGATAAAAATGCATTGGTCGAACTAAGGACCTTAGCAATGCACAGCCGAAATTTTACCAAATGCCTAGGCTCAATAAGAGTGCTCAATTTATGAGTCACAAAGCCTATGAAAAAAAAAAGACATTTATAATGTCCTTATATGACCTTTGCCAAGCAATAAGTCCAATCAAAACCAATATTTTGATAACTGAACCTCATATAATTTTATAATCTATAATATTTATAATCTTATATTTATATATTTTGATAAAAAAAAAATCATAACTGTAGCATAAACACCTTTACGCTTAAATGGTCACAAAGCCTATGAAAAACATAATTGACCTTTATAATGACAGGACCTTAAATGACCTTAGCCAAACAATAAGTCCAAACAAAACCAATATTTTGATAACTGAGCCTTATATAATCTTATAATCTATAATATTTATAATCTTATATTTATATATTTTGATCCAGAAATATATATAAACAAATAACGATCATAATTGAAGCATAACCAACTAAACGCTTTATGTCTCGCAGCTCGAGAGAAAGATATATATCTAACTTCCAATACGAAGCTCAGATGAAAATCGAAGTGAAAAGCTACTTTATATTCAGGCGAATGTTTTAACACCAATATTCTGAAATCAAATAATGACGACGGCCCCTTTCCTATTTACAACGTTCATCTCCACACTTGCAATAATGTTACATCCTTTCGCATTGATAACGTCGACATACAACAATTAGACATACTATTTTACATGAGATTAAGGTTGGTGGTTTTCATTTGTCCATGAATAAGTCATGAGGCTGCCATTTATCACGATCTTATACCTCCTCAACATGGATGTATTTTAGATTATATTGTTAGGGGAGTTTGATCAAGATTCTATGGTTTAATTTCCCATTAAAGCGATATATGGCTACTGAAGTATTGTAAGCTTCACGTTCCCATTCACAACTGTACGTTTTGGATATGTTAAATAGTTAAACTAAGGAATATATCTAAACTGTGGCAAAATATATCAAAGCACGTTAATATTTGAAGACTAATTTTATATAATATTTTGTAATATTGTTTTAGTGATATTTTGCAATATCTAGTGATATGTTATTACATGTAAGCTTACTGTAGTATGTGCCACCTGTTTAAGTGCTATTAAAGATGTTGGAGAGATTGAAAAATAATATAAGATGAATCTAACAGTTTAACAAAAGATCAAAAAGAACCAAAGATCAATATGTTGTGTTTCCCTAAAATCATTACGGTGTGACACATATGATGGGACAGGCACTTCCGGTTGACAAATCATGCCTGTGGTTGAAGACACAGGAAGTTGATATTCTTTTTTTTCTTTAAATTCCATGATTTAATACATATCTATGTAGATTTCTTTATTCGATTTTTTTTTTATTATTATCATTTTTACTATTATGTATTTTATTTGTACAAACATGTGTCATGGCGTCATTGCACAAAGTAAATATACGTTTCTGAAGGTTAAGCGTTTTTGTTTTTCACATTTCTTCTCTTATAGACAACTTGGTGCCGCAAAGCCATGCATTCGTTCCATGTTCAGAATGTGTATTTGGCCTACGTGTTGGAGGGAGAATTAAGTATTATTTTTATTAACATGCTAACAACAAATTCTCATCTACTCTGAGCCTTTCAAACACTGATGAAACCCTTGAAATCCCTTAAACCAATCTGACTAAATTAACCAAACAATTCGACTGATAAAGGTAATGTTTTACTTACCAGAGAAAGCATTTGATACAAACATGGAACAACTTCAAAGAAATTGAACATCATGGCTAGTTTGATTAAAAGTTAACTGAAAAGGTAAAAATGTCTTGAATTTGAATCATTGGAAATTCCTAAAACTAACTATCTCATCTTATCACGTAGATTGGATTAATCCTCCCCTTTATATATGCATTAAACACGTAGCTTTAAAATTAGAAGGGGGCTTTATCTGTTAGCCGGCAAACCTTTTCACACCTCCGAATCTTGCCAAGTTCATGTATGCCATTCACATTATCAAGAGGGGGATTCAGGGACCATTGTACCTCTAATCCGCCGCTATTCACATACAAGCATAACCCGGTCCCACTCAAGTCGATGGCGGTCTGTGAAAGCCCCTACATTGGTTGACACTGTAGCAATTTCTCCTACACGTCTCGACAAATTTAATCCTACGATAATAAATTATTCTAACGAATAAGGTCTTAATGAAAAGGTTGTCCCTCTCTCCACCCCATGCCTTCTCACGCCCGGCGACACAACAGGGGAGTTTGTTTACACAATTAGTGGTAATCTATTGCCTATCATTCACTCGACTACTGACAGAGAAATGTCTGGAGAGAATGCAACAGAATCGAGTAAACCATGGGTCCGATCTGTGGCGATATTTTTGTGGAAATTTAGCCTTTCCTATGAGCATTGATCAAGAAAAGTTATTAAATTACATCAACCTAGTTATACTAGAAAGCATAAGCATAATTACACAATGATCGAAAAAACACTTCGTAATCAATGGAATTGAAAGTTATGATTCCTCGTCCTGGGATTCTAGATTTGAGTTATATAAGTAGTATACGTGATACGATATGAGCAGCGGGCAGCACAAAATTACTTTAGAAAATAGATTTAAATCACAGGTAATCAGCATCTACATAACGTTAAAATTGAGCCAAAACGCTACTTACACTAAGATTGGTCAAAATAATGATAATACCATCTTAAAATCAAGAGTGGGTGTTGATATTCAAGATCATGAAAGGTTTATATATTATTTCCTTTTCATCAAACTATTACTGATTTAAGCAGTACACAGTTGATGTTGTTCTTTAACAGTCTACGCATGTTAAAATGTTATATTTCATTCAATCCCCTAAAGCTGTAACAAACGTTTTGATGTAAGATAATAAATCATGACGATATAGTCAAATTACATCAAACAAGCCTGATTGTATTGCTATCTAAATGTATACTCTTCATTTATTCGTCACTTTTTAATAAAAACAAATGTTTTCTAATCTAACGCAATCGCGCTTCACAAACTGACCATATATAAACTTATCACGACTTTCGTTGTATCATTGAATATAAAGCGTAATATTGAGAACTGCTAAATATTTTAAATTATTTTACTTTGGAAGACAAATTAATATGACGTTGATCTTGAATTAAAATGTACACAGTTTTGCTCTTTCACATCTTTTAATTAGAAATTAAAGCTTCTTGTCCAACAGCGCTAAGGGGCAAAGCCATAGTGGGTCAATATTATACAGAATTATAGAACATCTATCAATGTCGACTAACATAATTTATCACAGTATGTGTTATTGACTGGATATTGTGATCGTCCAAGCTATCTTCTTTAGCATATTAAGTTTACAACAGTGTCTGTTATTAATGCATGTTGTTTCCGTCCGTGTAATCCTAAGGTGTTTTGACTCTGTTACCTAGTAATCTGTTTAAGCTAAATTCATGATTCATAAACGGCCAAGAATATCTGCGTTATTATCATACTTGTTCTGATGAAATATAAATGTACACAAATCCACAATGACCATCCAAAAAATCCTATAACTCTTCGCTGTGTATTTATGTTTTTAAAAACAAATAAAAAAAACGAACATTTGACTGAATACACGATATTAAGCTTATGTAATATTACAGCACTTGCCACACTGATCGGTATTATTGTAATAGAACAGGGGGTATCCAAGGTGATTGGTTCTCGTTCGTTTTATAAACAGAGCTATATTGGTTTACCTACTCGTCTAATTCTTTGCCTGAAACCATTATGTCCGACATCAGCAGACAAAAAACTAAACAGCCTT